GCGCGTGTCGTCGGGGCTCTGTGGTCAGACCCCCAGCCGAGGGAGCCGACCGTACACCACCACCCGAAAGTGCTAGCTCCACGCCGCTCTGAACGAGCGGGCGGCGCCTGAGCGTCACAGGATTGCTCTGGACATCTGGATGCGCAGTGCGCCAGCACGGGCCCCCAGACAAAGGAGCCAGCCATGCACCGCCACCCAAAGTGCTAGCTCCAACGCCGCTCTGAGCGAGCGGGCGGCACCTGAGCGTCACAGGGTTGCTCGGGACATCTGGGTGCGCAGTGCGCCGGCGCAGACCCCCAGACGAGGAATCCGACCGTGCACCGCCACCCGAAAATGCTAGCTGGCCTCACGCCGCTCTGAGCGAGCGGGTGGCACCTGAGCGTCACAGGGTTGCTGGGCACATCTGGGCGCGCGGTGCGCTGGCGCAGACCCCCAGACGAGGGAGCCGACCGTGCACCGCCACCCGAAAGTGCTAGCTCCACGCCGCTCTGAGCGAGCGGGCGGCACCTGAGCGTCACAGGGTTGCTCGAGACAGCTGGGTGCGCAGTGCGCCGGCGCAGACCCCCAGCCGAGGGAGCCGACCGTGCACCACCACCCGAAAGTGCTAGCTCCACGCCGCTCTGAACGAGCGGGCGGCGCCTGAGCGTCACAGGATTGCTCTGGACATCTGGATGCGCAGTGCGCCGGCACGGGCCCCCAGACAAAGGAGCGCGGGCCGACTGAAACACCGCCACCCGAAAGTGCTAGCTCCACGCCGCTCTGAGCAAGCGGGCGGCGCCTGAGCGTCACAGGGTTGCTCGGGACAGCTGGGTGCGCAGCGCGCCGGCGCAGACCCCCAGCCGAGGGAGCCGACCGCACACCGCCACCCGAAAGTGCTAGCTCCAACGCCGCTCTGCGCGAGCGGACGGCACCTGAGCGTCACAGGGTTGCTTGGTTGCGGAAAACTGAGCGCACGGTGCGCCAGCGCAGCGGCCGACCGCACACCGCGACCCAAGATGCACAGCTCCGTGCCGCTCTGCGCGAGCGGACGGCACCTGAGCGTCACAGGGTTGCTTGGTCGCGCAACTGAGCGCACGGTGCGACGGCGCGACGGCCGACCGCACACCGCGACCCAAGATGCACAGCTCCGTGCCGCTCTGCGCGAGCGGACAGCACCTGAGCGTCACAGGGTTGCTTGGTCCCGCAACTGAGCGCACGGTGCGCCCGCGCAGCGGCCGACCGCACACCGCGACCCAAGATGCACAGCTCCGTGCCGCTCTGCGCGAGCGGACGGCACCTGAGCGTCATCACAGGGTTGCTTGGTCGCGCAACTGAGCGCACGGTGCGCGGGCGCAGCGGCCAACCGCACACCGCGACCCAAGATGCAAAGCTCCATGCCGCTCTGCGCGAGCGGACGGCGCCTGAGCGTCACAGGGTTGCTTGGTCCCGCGACTGAGCGCACGGTGCGCCGGCAGCGGCCGCGCACCGCGACCCAAGATGCACAGCACCATGCCGCTCTGCGCGAGCGGACGGCACCTGCACACAGACGCACACACACACACAGACACACACACACACAGATACGCACAAACAGACACACACAGACAACACACAGACACACACACAAACACATACACACACGAACAAACACACACACACACACACACACACACACACACACACACACACACACACACACACACGCGCGCACGCGCGCACACGCGCACACGCGAACGCGCGCACACGCGCACGCACGCGCACGCACACGCACGCACGCGCACGCACGCGCACGCACGCGCACGCGCAGGCACGCGCACGCGCACGCACGCGCACGCACCGCACGCACGCGCACGCACGCGCACGCACGCGCACGCACGCGCACGCACGTGCACGCCCCCGCGCACGCCCCCGCGCACGCTCCCGCGCACGCCCGCGCGCACGTCCCCGCCGCGCACGCCCCCGCGCACGCATCCGCGTACGCGCACGCGCACGCACGCGCGCACGCACCCGCGCACGCGCACGCGCGCACGCGCACGCGCGCACCCGCACGCGCGCACCCGCACGCACGCACCCGCACGCGCGCACCCTCACGCGCGCACCCGCACGCGCGCACCCGCACGCGCGCACCCGCACGCACGCACCCGCACGCACGCACCCGCACGCACGCACCCGCACGCACGCACCCGCACGCACACACCCGCACGCACACATCCGCACGCACGTACCCGCACGCACGCACCCGCACGCACGCACGCACGCACCCGCACGCAACGCACGCACACACGGACGCACGCACACGCACGCGCTCACGCACACGCACGGTCACGCACTCGCACGCGCACGCACATGCACGCACGCACGCACGCGCACGCACGCACACACAGACAGACGCGCACGCGCACGCGCACACACGTAAGCGCTCGCACGCGCCGCACACGCACGCACGCACGCGCACGCACGCACGCACGCGCGCGCGCGCGCGCACGCACGCACGCGCGCGCACGCACACGCACACACGCACGCACAAACACGCGCACGCACGCGCGCACGCACGCGCACGCACGCACGCACGCGCACGCACGCGACACACACGCACGCGCACACACGCGCACACACGCACGCGCACACACGCACGCGCACACACGCACGGCACACACGCAAGCACGCACGGGCACGCACGCGCACGCACGCACACGCACGCACGCACGCGCACGCACGCACGCACGCGCATGCACGCGCGCGCACGCACGCGCACACGCGCACGCACGCACACGCACGCACGCGCACACGCACCCGCACACGCACACGCACGCGCACACGCACACGCACGCACGCGGGCGCATACGCACACGCAAAAGCACACGCACGCGCACACGCGCACGCACCCGCATACGCACCACACGCGCACGCACAGCACACGCACCGCACGCACACGCACACGCACACGCACACGCACACACACACACACACACACACACAACACACACACACACACACACACACACACACACACGCACACGAAACAACACAGCACACGCACGCAACTCACAGGCACGCGCTCGCAAGCCCACGCACGCGCACGCACGCACGCGCACGCACACGCACACACGCACGCACACGCACGCACACGCACGCACGCGAACGCGCACTCGCACGCACACGCGCACGCACACGCGCATGCACACGCGCACGCACGCACGGCACACGCACTCATTTCACACGCACGCACGGCACAAGCACGCACGGCACACGCACGCACGGCACACGCACGGCACACGCACGCAAGGCACACGCCGCACACGCCGCACACACAGCACTCACAGCACACACAGCACACACAGCACACACAGCACATACAGCACACACAGCACTCACAGAACGCACGCAGAGCATACACAAACAGCACACACAGCACACACACAGCACACACACACAGCGCACACACAGCACATTCAGCACAGCACACTCAGCACAGCACACTCAGCACACACACACACACACACACACACACACACACACACACACACACACACACACACACACACAGCACACACACACACACACACAGCGCACAAGCACACACACAGGCACAGGCACAGGCACAGGCACAGGTACAAGCACAGGCACAGGCACAGGCACAGGCACAGGCACAGGCCCAGGCACAGGCACAGGCACAGGCACAGGCACAGGCACAGGCACAGGCACAGGCACAGGCACAGGCACAGGCACAGGCACAGGCACACGCACACGAACACGCAAACGCACACACACACATACAAACACACACACACGTGCATTTTTTTATTCTGGGTTCCGGCTTTAGGCGCATGGGGGAGGGGGGGGGGTCCCGGCTCTCGGCCCGTAGTCAATGCCTCCGATTGAATCATGTGGGGAATCCTGTGGGAGATGCCGATGAGGGAATCCTAGGGGAGACCCCCCATGGGGGAATCGCGCAGCGGCTGCGCGGGGCTGCGCCAAGGCTATGCGTGATTTGGCAAGCCTGTGCCAGAATTGCTAGGGATCACCTATTCATGATTCCACGAGGCCGTCGCTGGCATAACAGGGGAGGGCCCAGCCGGAGGCATGCTTTCTGGCGATCGGGTCTGGCGCCCCTGAGCCCTTTCGTTGTGGTTCCAGAAGAGTAGCACGATAAAATGCGCACAGTTGCACACATCAGCGATTCGAGTTTCTACCGGGGGAGGGGGGGGGGGCGCCGGCCCCTGTAGTTCGTCCGATCGATTGAAGCAGGTGCCAAAATCAGCCCGGAACTTCTCTACGAAAGCAAAAACAAATAATAAAAGAATGCTCACCACGTTTGGGCGTCGCGGCCACGCGCGCGGCGACGCGGCGTAGGTCAGGTCAGGTGAGCGCGCGGCACACACGCACACACGCACGCAAACACACGCGATCGCGCAAGCACGGACGCACGCAAGCACGCAAACCCAACCCGAAGCAGCCGACCACGCAACACCCAAGAGGCGGGGGGGCAAATCGTTTGAAAAATGGGGCCGAAACCGACCACAGCGGAAGGGGCGGGCTGAACTCTGGATCACGTACACCAAGATCTGGCCCAAGGATGGGCCTACGGCTGTCTGGTGGTGCATGTTCTGAAGAGGGCGTCAACTCCAAACCTGCACCGATCTTGGCCACGCTAATCCTGGGCCCAGGATTGATGCATACGCCCTGGCTTGGCGAGGAGAGCATACGGTCGGGAACTGCTGCGGAGCGTGCCGCGGCGGCGGCCCCAGCGACGCGCTGTGCCCTGCGAGCTGACAGCGTGTGGCTCCGCTCCGCGTGGCGGGAGGCTGGAGAGAGCTGGGGACACCGACGCTTGGAAATGGGGAGGTGGTTCGCATGTCGCGCAGAAGCGCGGTGGGCCGGAACCTGCGGAGCGATATATACTACGCAGACGTCGTCGTCGCTGTCGTCGATCCCAGGCTCACGACTGGCCTGCCCCTGGAGCCGTGCAGGCGTGCGGCGGCGACGCCCCTCCGGGTGCTCTCCCCTGGCCCTGAGAGCTCCTGCGACACCTCCCGGTGCAGCGCCTCAGCCTCGTCCAGGCGTCCGAGATTCCTCAGAACATGACTACCTACCAGACCACCCCAACCCAACCCGAAGACCCGAATTTCGGGTTGGGGGGGGTATGGGCTCCATACCGTGTTTTTTCGATGTTCCCGGACCCCCCCACACTGGAAATGGAGGGCAAAATGAGGCCTTCGGGTTGGGTTGGGGTGGTTTGGTGGGTGGTGAGAACAGGAAAAGGATATCGAGCGTGAACCCCAAACGGTAGGTTCTTGTGAGGTATGCGGCGCAGTCCAGGTGGTGCAATCAACGTGGCGCAACCTAAATGGTGACCTACGCAGTGCAGATTATGTGGTGCAGAGCAGTGTAAGAGCAATGCAAAGCAATGCAACGCAATGCAATACAATGCAGTGCAAAGCAATGCAAAGCATTGCAACGCAACGCAATACAATACCATGTAATGCAAAGCAAATGCAAAGCCACGCAAAGCCATGCCAGGCCATGCAAAGCCATGCCAAGTAATGCACAGCAATGCACAGCGACGCAAAGCAATGCAAAGCAATGCGAAGCAATGCAAACCGATGCAATACGATGCAACGCAAAGCAATGCAATACAATCAATGCAATGCAAAGCAATGTCAAAGCCATGCGAAGCCATGCAAAGCGATGAAAAGCACTGCAAGGCAATGCGAAGCAATGCGAAGCAATGCAAACCAATTCACCACGATGCAACGCAGTGCAATGCAGTGCAAGGCCAGGGAAAACAATGCAACGCAATCCAAGGCAATGCAACACAATGCAAAACAAAGCAGCAATGCAACGCAACGCAACGCAATGCCAAGCAATCCCACCAGCCCTCTGGGCGTAGGTGGTCTAGAGCAGATCCTCTTCCACCCCTCCCTCTTCCCCCTTGGGGAGGGGTTTACCCCTCCCCCTACCCCCTCCCCTGGACCTGGACGGGGGGGGCCGCTGGTAGTTAGAGCGTCCCAGATGGCCCAAGACGGCTCCAAGAGCGCCTCAGAGAACCCAAGATGAGCTCCAAGATGGCTCAAGATAGCGCAAGATCGCTCGAGATGGCTCCTAAGATGGTTCCAAGAAGCCCAAAGACGGCCCCAAGATAACTCCAAGTGGCCAAACAGCTCCCCAAGGAGGCCCCGAAGAGGCCAAAATCGTCCCAAAACCTAAGGAAAATCAATGATTTTTGCTTTCTCGCCTTTTCGCTTCCGATGGCCATCCGAGGCCTGGAGATGGCTCCAAGATGGCCCAAGAGGGCCCCAAGAGAGCCCCAAAAGAGCCCCAAGACGGCCCCAAGAGCGCCCAAGAGCACTCCAAGAGCGTTCCAAGAGGGGTCCAAGAGGCGATTTTAGGGGCTTCCGAGGGGGGACGCTAATTCACCCCCCCCTCTTGTTTGATCGATCTCCTCCAAGATGGCCCCAAGAAGCGCCCAGGAAGCCCCAAGAGGTCCCAAGATGGCCCCAAAATGGCCCCAAGAGGCCCCCAAGAGGCCCCCCGGAGGCCCCCAAGAGACCCCCAAGAGGCCCCAAGAGCCCCCCCAGATGCACCCAAGATGCTCCAAGAGGCCTCGGCGAGAATGCCTAATCATTGATTCTACACAGGTTTTAGCCACATGGAGGCCTCTTGGGGGGGGGCACGGATTAAGATGACTCCAAGAGCGTCTGGGAGAGCCCAAAATGACCTCCAAGATGGCTCAAGATATCCCAAGATGTCTCATAATGGCTTCCTCTGTGTGCTGCCCACTTCTCTGATCGAGGCAATTCCTCTGGGCATCGTTTCTGGATGGGCTGGTGGGGATTCGCGAAGCGACAACAATTCCAAGCAATGCAATGCAAAGCCAGGGAAAACAATGCAAAGCAATGCAGATCCACGCAAAGCAGCACAAAGCAACGCAAAGCAAAGCAATGCGTTGGCATGCTAAATAGCACAGAACAATACAACATAACGCAAACGATGCAAAACACTGCGCAGCGATGTAAAGAACGGCATAACAATGCAGAGTAAAGCAACGCTATGCGAAACATGGCAAATTAATTCAAGCAATGCAAAGCAATTCAAAGCGATGCAAGGCGGTGCAAGGCAATGCAAAGCAATGCAGAGCAATGCAAAGCACGACATAGCAATGCAACTCAATGCAAAGCAAAGCTGTGCAATGCAAATATATGCAAACCACGGCATAGCAATGCAACGTAATGCAAAGCAAGGCGAAGCAAGGCGAAGCAGTTGAGGCCCAGACGACGGGTAACGACGAGGCGGCGACGGGGCGGCGACGGCGACTACATGGCCTCCAGACCGACCCCCCGCGCACAGTTGCTTGCTCTAGAAGTAAGAGCCCCAAGTGCAACCACAGCAGGGGGGAAACAGCAGAAACATCAGCTGTCGGAGGTCCGCGCGGACGTCCTTGATCCTCTCTTGACATCCCTCACTGCCGTGCCGAGTGGCGGCGCCCGAGCGAGGGGGAGATCCAGCACAGATCCAAGAAATCCGCGCGGACCTCCGAAAGCTTGTGGTCATGTCGAGAACTGTTCCTCGATTTCGGAGGGGACCCACATCGGGGAGACGCAAGACTCGGGTTCGGGGGACTCGTGTTGGCCTGACGGGCCATCATGAACAGGACGAGGCCCCGTCTGAAGCTGGACGCGAGCTCCCGCTGCAAACATCCCACGGAAGCTGAACCGTCAGAATCCAGGACACGCTCGTCAAGAAGCGTCGGCCGACCCGAGTTCCAGCGTACTCGAGTGCTTCCCCGACAAAAGATACTCCCATACCGCTACTCCCCGGACATCGCCCGAGGTGCGTCCTGACGAGAATTAAGTCGGGCCCGTCCCTCTCCAGGAGGACTGTTCAAAAATAGTCAAAATAGTCAGGACTATTTGTTCTGCATTTTTTGACGATTTTGGAATATGTTGTAATCCTTTTTGCATTTTTCGCCCAGAATCCCCCTGTAGGGGGACACGCCCGACTTAAGACCAGAATTTCGAGGCGCGTCCAGCCGCGGCGACCAGGGCCTCCGAGGGAGGCCCCAACCGGGAGAAGACGAGGGAAGGGCAGCGCCATCGGTGGCCTTTCCTGGGACGCACAGAGACATACTTGTTCTGCACTGAAGGGGCCCAAGGACACACAAATGAATGCACACAGTTAACAGGATTCCCCACATTTTCCCATATTTTCCGGGTTTGTTTGTCTTCCCCCCACTTCCCATAGTTTCCCATGTTTTCTGGAGAATCAACGATTTATTGTGTCTGTGTGTTTTCCCCCCTCCTGATATATGTCCTCCTCGGAGGCGTGCGTCCGACCCGAACATATTGTACTACAATCTCGTCGTATATCGTTTCCGGAGCAGTACGGCCAGAAAGCGCCCGCCACGCGGCGTATTCTACACGATCCCTCGGTGCGTGCGTCGCTACTGGGGGGGCGACGCACGCATAGTATCAGTGCTAGGTCGGGCATGTCGCCGTACATGCGGAATCTGGACGAAAAAATAAACATACTCAAAAAATACCTCAAACAAAATTCAAAACTCCTCGCAAAGCGTCCCCAGACTGCTCATTACTATTATTTCTGAGCACTCACTCCTCCTGTAGAGGGACACGCCCGACTTAGCATCAGCACGTTGGGGTGACGCTGCTTCCCTCCTCAGGCTCGACTCCTGAGCATGACGCCCAGGTTGTTCTTGGACTCCAGCGTCCGCGCGTGCGCGGGGCCCAGCGCCGCCCTCCGAGCGGCGAGCGTCCGCCGGTGCAGCTCCTCGCCCTCGGGGAGGGCGCCCGTGGTCCGGAGGAGGCTGGCCAGGTCGCTGGCGGACTGCAGCGCCTCCGCGTGCTCCGTGCCCAGCTCCGCCTCTCGGCACGGCGCGGTGGTCGTGCTGCCGTGAGGTCGGGCCTGTCCCCCATACGGGGGGATGTTGGACGAGAGATGAGAAGGAAAACAAGTGCCCCAAAAGTGCGCAGAGATAGCCAAGGATAGTCCAAAAATCGCCCCCAGACTATTTTCTGGCTATTTTGAATTTCCCCCCTGTACAGGGACAGGCCCGACTTAATGCTACTGGCAGGGTCGCCAAGTGGGCGATTTCGGAAACCCTGAACCCAAAAAGGCTTTCATCTCTTGGGGGCGCCTCTTTTGGGATCCGCCGGCGGAAGCGGCCTCGCTCTACTTCCGCCGACCCTCCACCGCTCTTTCCGCCGCCTTCCGCGGCGGAGGAGATGGCAACTCCTTCGAGCCTCGAAGGCAAGGCCGTTTTTTGGGGGGAACGCCCCAGGTGGTGAACGGCACTGCTCTTCGGGCCGCGGCGAGCCTCGGCCGCGAGCGGGCTCCACGGCCCGGGCCCGAGGCTGCGGCCCTGAAACACCGGAGCCCATCCCCCTCCTCCTCCTCCTCCTCCTCCTCCCCCTCCTCCTCCTCCTCCTCCTCCTCCTCCTCCTCCTCCTCCTCCTCCTCCTCCCGGGACCGAGGTGGCCCCCAGCTCCGCGACCTGACCGCGCTGTTGATGCCCCGTCCCCGCGGGCGCGGCTCTGGCCCCGCTGGTCGCCTCTGCCCTCCTGGGGGTGTGGGCTGACGGGGCTGAGATGCCACGGCCCCGTGGGGATGGGTATTGCTTGGGCGGTGCCGAGCCTCGCGGTCGCGGAGGGTGGCGCGGTAGAGCTCCTCCGCCTCCCTGTTGGAGGGAGAATAAAAAAACGGCATGCGCAAGCATAAACTCTCGGACCTCCGAAAGTGTTATATGCTCCTGTTCATGCAGTTGATTATTCCTCTGCCTAGGGCGGTTGCTCATGTGGAGCAGGTTGGCGAGACTGTTGGCGTGTCTGAGGGTGATCTGGTGCGTGGCCCCGTTCTCCTCGCCGGCCCTGCTCAGGACGTCGCGGCACAGCCGCTCCGCCTCCTGGTGCTGGCCCACCGCGGCCAGCTGGTCGGCCAGTCGGCCAATAGCATTCACGGTGTCGGCGTGGCCAGGCCCCAAAGTCCTCCCCATGAGCTCAAGAATCTCCCGGCGCATGTTCACAACAAGCTGCCCGTGCCCGATCGACTTCCACACGTCGGCCAGGCAGCTCATAGCGCGTATGGACTCTGGGTGTGCCCCACCATCGGTCCAAATCCTGAACTCCATCGCACGACGCAGCAAGGGGTCGGCCATGGTGAGCGCGCCCATCACGCGGGCCGTGTTGGCCAGCGCCTCCAAAGCCTTCAGCGTGGACTCGTGCTCAGGGCCCTCCCTGCTCTCCCACGCGTCGTACACCCGCTCCTCCGGGGAAGGGCGACTGCACAAACATAAATTTTCGGAGATCTGCGGGTTTGAAGGGGCCCCAGGACACACAAATAAATACACACAAATAAAAGTATTCCCCATACTTTCACATATTTTCGAGGTTTTGTCTTCCCCCCCACTTCCCATGTCTTCCCATATTTTCTTAGCCCTCAAATCGCGCAGCGGTTTGGAGGGCAGGAAAATTTCAGGAGCTAGCGGTGCCACACTCCTCCTAGCCTTATGGCCTCGAGCTCCCAGCAGAACGCACGAAACTTGGATACCTCCAACTGGGGGTGGCGGACTTCACCCGCCCTGGTGGGTCAGCTAACGCGCCGTGTCCTGTGGACGGCGGGTGTGGGTCTGTCTGTCCGTCCGTCCCGTCTGTGTGTCTGTGTGTCTGTCGTCTGTCTGTCGGTCTGTCTGTCCGTCGTCTCCCTGGGACGTCCTCGTCCTGCCCGTGGGTGTCTGCTGGCACCGCGGGGTGGGCCTCGTGGCGGTCTCGGCGGCAAGCGCAGTGCGTGCCGTGGGAGCCTCAGGCACCGCGCGTTCGCACTCCCTGGGGGCCTCAGGCACCAGGAGCGGTCTCGGCGGCAAGCGCAGTGCGTGCCGTGGGAGCCTCAGGCACCACGCGTTCGCACTCCCTGGGGGCCTCAGGCACCAGGGGCGCCCGCATTCTGCACAGCCCCACTGCGCTTTAGTGCCCGTGCTCCTCGCCGTTCCTGCCTTCGCTGTGGCCTGGCTTTCACCGCTGGTATTGAGTGTGCTTCGCGCAGGGCTTCAGGCACTGCAAAACGCCGCGCGCAGGCAGGCGCTAGCACACCTCCGTCTGGGCTGGCTACTGCGCTCCATGGCGCGTATTCTAGCTCAGATTGCAAATCTGGGCGCGCCCAGCCAGTGCGCTGTGCTGGGCCTCGGAGAGTGCGGCATCGTGCTCTGTGTGCGCGCCCAAGTGCGCAGTATGGGGCTCAGGGTGCAATTCTGTGCGCGCGGGCTCCCGTGGGCACTGCTTCTGGCCCAGTTTGCTCATCTGGGTGCACCTCGCCTAAAGTGCGCAGGCTCAGGCTCAGTAGGCTGCACTGAGTGCTCCCGGGGAATCGTGCTCGTATCCCAGTGCGCGCAGTATCAGGCTCAGAGTGCTATTCTGAGCGCGACCGGCCCCGTGGCCGCGGAATCGCTGTGATCGCCAATCTGGGCGTGCACGGCCCAAAGTGGGCAGTATCAGGCTCAGCATGCGTTTCTGAGCTCAGAGTCTGGCTCAGTCCCCAGTCTGGGAATCGATCTCAGATCGCTGATCTGAGTGGGCTTCGGCTGTAGTGCGCAGGCTCAGGCTTCCACCCAGCTTCCAGGGCGCGAAGTCGGGTTCAGTTTGCTAATCTGGGCGCACTTCGCCCGAGGTGCGCAGTATCAGGCTCAGAGTGCTTTTCTGAGCGAGTCAGGCGTCCAGGGCGAGAAATCGAGCTCAAGTCGCAAATCTGGGCGTGCCTCGCGAGAGTGCGCTGGGTCACGCTCGGAATGCCATTCTGAGCGAGCCAGACCTGGACAGGGGGGCTACGGACACTCTTGGGCACTCGGGGTCGGATGTGTGCAGGCGGCAGAAGCTAGTCCTTGATGGGGGGGCATTGGCTAACCCCCCACCTGCACACAACGAGGCGGGGGTGCTTTGCACGTGTGCAGCACGCCTGTCCTCGACCGACCCCGGGGGGGCCCGCGTCCCAAACGACGCGTTATCGGCATATCCATGCTGACGCCCTTTCACCAGCGAACTCAGAATTAAATTCTGGTGTGGCTGCTGAAAATTCGGCTGCTGAGATTGAAACTGGGCGGATTTCCCATGGGAAGTCGCCCCATCGGATTTCGGAAGATTTTCCCAGCCGGAGAATCGGCAGACTAAACGGGGAGAAAATTAGCGTGGGGTCGGTAGCCCCTTCGCAAGCTGCTGCCTGGCGGCCTCGGCCCCAGAGGCGAAGCTGATATTCTGGCGTCGTTGCATCCATCCGGTGCCAACAGCGTGCAGACGAGCTGTGCGCGCACGCCCTTTAGCGCGTCGCCTTGACGGCGTTGCCCGCCAAGACGGCGCGCCCCGTCACCTATAGGATGGGGTCGCCCAGGCCACCCACCAGGTAAGAAATGGGAAAATCCGTTTGGAGACGGATTCGCCTGCTCCGCGACGACGGACAGCATTCGGAAGCGGAGGACGAGCGTAAGCCCCTTCGCGCCGCGTCCAGGCGGACGCGCTCGCCCCAAAGATGGGCGCTCACTCATCCATCTCATCATTTAGATCTGCTCTGTGTCCTCCGGCGGCGGCGGTGGCAGAGGTGAATTGCGTCGGCCGCGCGGTGGCGTCAGGGAAATCCTATCTCTGACGGAAGCCCAGCACCGTCTGGCTGCAGGGAGCCAGCGCGGCAAGGCAGGTTCTCCACCGGGGCAGCATCGCACGCAGTGCTCGGCAGGCGCGCCTATGACGCCCTCCGGGGGCCTGGGTGGTGCACTCAGGCTGCGGAGGGGGATAGGCATCGCATCAGCGCTGGCTACATTTTGCCCCGCGGTGCCTACCGCGCATTGGCTGGTTGTTGTCTTTTGTCTCGAGCGTTCTTCCGCACTGGCTCAGACGACCGTACGGCAAGCAATGTGCCCTTTCGCAGCTCCGACCTTGCAAGCCCGAAGTGAGTGCAAGGCAATTCGGCGAAATGCGCCCGTGCCGCTGGCATTTAGGCTCGTCAACCTCGCAAGTCTACGCTTGTAGTGCCCGAGCGCTCAGTTTCGGTACTCTGTCTATCTGTACTCAGCTGTGCTCGCCTGTGGTCCACCATGGCCGGCCAGTTCGCTCCTGAAGAGATCCGCGCGGACCTCGCTGGTCTGCCGGCTAGCGCGTTCAACAAGACCGAGATGGATGCCCGCGTCCAATGGATGGAAACGGTCTTGGACGTGGAGCCCCAGGCTCGTGGGAAGCATGACCTGCGCTTCTACACGGGCGTCGGGCGGCTGCTCGCCGACGTGGTGTGCAGCACGCAACCGGAAGATTACGCGGACGACTACGTCCGCGACGTGATCAAGGCCAACTTCAAAGCTGGCGACACGCCATTCAATGAAGAAGGCAATCCTGAGAGTTGGAAGACTCTCAAGATGACTCCGGCCATGGTTGTGTTCGCCTTGCGTGTCCAGGCTGCTTTCGCGAAGTCAGCGGGAATGGAGGTGGCACAAGGCTCCAAAGATGGGCAACTGGGCGACGGCGGTTTGAAGGATGCTCTCACAGAGTTCGTAAAGTGTCAGGCGGAAAAAGAGAAGCAGACAACTAAACCCAAAGGGTTGTCTTTCAATTACGCCAAAAGGATCGAAGACGTAGGCCTATCAGAGTTTCCACCAGAAGCTCTGCCATCAGAGGATCTTCTGGCCAAGTGGGAAGCGGCCGGAAAGATAGCTGCAGAAAAGGGCCGCGTCTACGTCGGCAGTGCTGACGCAGATGACCTGATGGCATTGCACCGGCCAGCGTGGACGAGGTCGCCAGCAATCGATTTGATGCCGAGCGGCGGCAGTTGGGATGATCGGCTCAAAGCCGCGCTCGACATGAAGAAGGCACGCTCCTTGGAAGAACGTGTGCACTACCAGGGCTTCGCCACTTTCCTGGGGCATGTGTTCTCGTGGGGCCTCAAGCTCGTCATGATGAAGGTTTGCTCTCAGACGCACCTCCTGTCGTATGTCTTCATCCTCACCCGGGTGGCGGAGGAGCATGGTGGTGTGGCCACAGCGTACCACTATGACGTCAAGGTGCGGAAGGAGATGGCCACGGAGCTGGAGCGTGAGAAGCCCAACGTGCTGCGCTGGCTCCTCGAGCTGAACGACGACACGGCCAGGGCAGCAAAAGATAAAGCGCAGTCTGGCGCTGGCAGGGTTGCGAAATTCGCATCGGCTGCTGCAGCGGGGTCGTCTGCTCAGAGCGCCGCTGGGAATCACGGTCGTGGCAGCGGCGGTAAGGCTGTCGGCAAGGGCGGCAAGAGTGGCAAGGGCGATAACCGGCCCGTGCGTTCGCCGCCGAGGAAGCCTCCCAGCCAGCGTGGCCGTTCCAGGAGTCGTAACACTCGGAAGGATGGCTGGTATCAGCAGGGGTGGCACGACGGGAAGAAGAAGTGAGCTTCGCCAGAGAAGCCTGCGTCCGAGCACGACGCAAGCAGTACCGGTACAAGTGTTCTAAGCGAAGATAGTGGGCGGCAGCATGCGCTTGGTGGGTTTGCCACTTTGAGCGGGGCTGTCAGCGCGCTGTTGGCCGATTCAGTTTTGCTTGAGTCCATGTGTGCGTGGGATCATCTTGAATGGGCCTGTACTTTGCCAGCCTTTGAAGGGCCCGCTGCAATGCCAGCAATAATAGTTGAGGCGTTGGAGCGGGCAGGATCTTTAACGGATTCTGAATTGCACGAACATCGTGCGAGCAAACTCCAGTATTGGGCTGATAGGAAACGTGTGACAGACCCTGCGTGGCGGCGGGCAGTATCGCAATTGCCAGCGCACTGCCAGTGCGTGCTCGGGCTGGATAAGAATTTGTTTCTCGTGGCCGAAATGCTGGAGGCGATCGAATGGCCAGACCAGTTGCTCATTGAGCATCTGAGATTTGGTTTTCCGTTGATAGGGGAATTGCCGCGCTCGGGCATTTTGCCGCCAGTGCCTTTCCCGCAGCTGTCGTTCACTCCTGAGTTTCTGTTCCGCCATTGTGAGGAGCACAACGTTGCTACGTTGCACAGGGCGCGCAGGCCGACCGGCGCGCACCCGATGGTGGAGGAAGCCTTTGAAGCAAAGTGTGTACAAGAGGTAGGAGAGAAGAAAGCATGGTGGACGCGGCTGAACACGGCAGCGTCTATCATTTCTGCACGCTTTCCTGCCCTGGAGGGGTGGAAGGAAGATGAGCGGGGTAGTGTGTGCCCGAAAGTGCGATTGATTGATGATTTCACTGCCTCGTTTGTGAATTCGGCGACAGCTGTAGGCGAGCCAATGCCAGTGGATACGCT